ATATAAATCATAAATATATACTATTCTCAAAAGACTATTCATATAAATTGTGTCGGTGAAGTGCAACCCAAATGGACCATGCCGGGTCGGGTCAAGTACATACCAAATATAGTTATGGACTTAGACATTAATCCAACACTAAGATCTAGCATTTCTAGCTTCTGGAGTTGCCCAAACTCACAAAAGAGAGCCCATAGACCCAAAAGAGCTCATAAACAAACCCTAACTCTAACTATCAAAAGGATCAACAAGGTATGAGCTTTTTACCTCCAAAAGCTTCCTAAGATGATGTAGATTCAGGATCTTGAAGCTCAACCACGTCCAAAGCTTTTTTCACCAACTTCTTCTTCTTGCAAACACACCAAAAAGCCACCAAAGTTTCTTTTAAGCTCAATGATCACTCTCAGTGGTAAACTAGGGTTTTTGGGACGTTAAAAAGCAGTGGAGGCTGATAAGGGTGAGGGTCTAAGAGTCATAAGTGAGTTTAAATAGGGCTCATGTCCTAAAATTAGGGTTTTAGATTTGGCCACATACGCCCCGCGTACGCCTCGTACGCCCCACGTACGTGGCTCAGTCTCCCGATTCGCCAAGCCCATGTACGCTTAGCGTACATAGACGTAAGCCCAATGTACGAAGGGGCCTCTTTCGCAATGTAATTTTATTTCAAGGACTTAAAAGGAAAAATACCTGGATTCAAGTGTTACACTATGCAATCCTAATCATATATAACTTTGAAAGCATACACTTAGCAATTAACATAGTCAACATCGATTCCAAGCAATACATAGAATCTAATTTTCCTAGGCTATAAGACACCATACAAATCAGACAATTCTGTCACATAATTCCTGAAGGTATCCTGATCCCTACTCTAGCATGCAATTCACATATCAAGCATACTAATTGTAATACATAAACATGGGTAATTGGGAAACACTTACTTGAGCTCGACCGATCGCACACATTGCACTCTCCCTTTTTACTTAAGAAAACCTTTTTCAGAAAAATTCAATTCTTTTTCTTTTGAAAAGATTATCATTTCCTCAGTTTGAGTTCTGACACACCTGAGAGTGTGTCCGAATCCCTCAAACCAAGGCTCTGATACCATTTTGTAACAACCCAAAAACCCCGAATAAAACTTTTCATTTTCATTTTTCTAAAACAAACAAGTACCATAGATATAAAGTTTATCCAAAACCATCACAATGTAAAATTGTTGTGTCATCAAAGTACAATATAAAAAATGCAGAAATAAACGGGAGAGAATGTTGTGCCATCATGTCGCGCCCTTCCCCTTAGTACCGGAAGTACCTAAAACCATAAACACAAATTGTAAGCAAATGCTTAGTGAGTTTTCCCAAAGTACTACATACCAACAAACAATTAATGCTATGGGCCAAATCATAGTCTTACAATTATTACCGGGGGCCAAATCCCGGTCTTACATACAGGTGCCAGGGGCCGGATCCTCGTCTTTCATACCATTGCCAGGGGCCACATCTTGGTCTCTCGTACATATATCACACAAATAATCTGCATACTATAACACAAAGAATGGGTTGACTTTGGTGCCTTCGACCCATTGATACAGTGAGAAACTCACCTCAGTCTGCTGGAAACAAGAAGATGCTCGGCTGCTAAACAGGAAGGTCCCATACTAACACAAACAAATAGCCCTAATCAGAATTAGGTCACAATCCCAAATCATGGGCCTAAGCCCTAAGTCCAAACTCCTAAAATAAGGGCTCAATTGCTTTTTTCCATAATGGGCCTAACAATTCATGGCCCAAACGCAATAACGGGCTCCAAGGCCCAAAAGGCCCAACTACACCACTTAAGGCCCATTAGCAAAATTCAAAGGCCCATCTACTCTAAACAGGTCACGGCCCAAAACCAACTAAGGCCCAATGATCCAAAAGTCCAAAAAAAGTCTAAAAGCCCATTGGGGGCGTACGCACGACGTAATTCTCAATACGCTCGACGTACTCGATCGCCATGCAGTACGCGCTGCGTACATCCTGGTACACTCAACGTATTGAGCTGTTTTACACCTTTAGCTATTTGGTGCTTAATCCATGCAGCCACTTACTCCAACTTCCAGATCTCGTTCATTAAGGGGGTCCTAGGGCATAAAGTTGGCAACTTTATGCCTTAACATGTCTTATTAGATTCCAACATCCATTTTTGTTCATCAAAACTCACATTAAGGACCTAGATCCATGCATGGTTCCTTATCAACCAACAATATAACATTTTTATGCCTCTAACACATCATATGGACTAATATCTAGCTTTTGGAGTTACCCAAACTCACAAAAGAGAAACCATAGACCCAAATGAGCTCATAAACAACCCTAACTCTGACTATCAAAAGGATCAACAAGGTATGAGCTTTTTAACTTCAAAAGCTTCCTAAGATGATGTAGATTCAGGATCTTGAAGCTCAACCACGTCCAAAGCTTGCTCACCAAGTTCTTCTTCTTGCAAACATACCAAAAAGGCCACCGACGTTACTTCTAAGCTCAAATATCACAATAAAAGGCAAACTAGGGTTGTAGGGACGTTAAGAGCTGTGGAGGTTGATAAGGGTGAGGGTCCAAAGGTCATAAATGTGCTTAAATAGGGCTCATGCCCTAAAATTAGGGTTTTAGCTTTTGGCTACGTACGCCCCGCGTACGTGGCTCAGGTCCCCGATCCAACACGCCCATGTACGCTAAGCGTACATATACGTACGCCCATCGTATGGAAGGACCTCATTTGCAATTATATTTTTATTTTAAGGACTTAAAAGGAAATACCTGGATTCGAGTGTTACATTTATGGACATGCATGTCCAATGCATGTCTCTTCCAATCTAGGTAAAAAACATGGAAAAAATGAGCTCAAACTTGAGCATGAGACCAAAAACACCATAGAACTCTAGATCTGGAACATATAACTCCAAAGGGACCCTAAGGATCCATAAAGTTTCCAACTTTATGGAATCTAACCATTCAAACTCTCACAATCATGGAGAAAAGGGACAAAAAACATAGATCCAGAAGTGCTAAACATAAAACTTGGAACTTGAGGTCTTACAAAAGTCCAGAATATGAGCAAGGATGAGGTGAGGAGGTTAGCTTGCTAGATCCATGCACCAAGAGCTCTTTCTTCTTCCTTAAAACACTAAAACCCCCTCCAAAAGCTCTCAAATGAAAAAAAAAATGGAGGCTAGGGTTTATGTTGAGGGTGAAAGGGAGGCTAAGGGTATGCAAACCCTAGCCCTCACTTCCCTTAAATATGGCTTAAGACCCGAAAAATTAGGGTTTTACAAACAGGAGCCTGTCACGTCGTGACCAATATATAGTCACGTCGTAACACTCAAAGGAGATGCGCGTTACCAAACTCTTTAACAACCTACTTATCTTAATTCTTGTAGGACAACCTAATGACAAGGCGTTCTCCTCGTTGTTTAGTGAATGTGAGGAAAACAATTCACACTCGAACAAAAGGAAGTTGTGAAATTCATGAGATTTGGTAGTCTTCTTGACCTCAAATATAGAACTTTACACACAACTTTATGTCTTTGGTTATTAGAAAGTCTTAACACCATTAGACGAATCTTAGAGATTTGTGGTAAACGAATTCCTATGTCTCCCGTTGATGTGGAAATTGTAATGAGATTGTCAACAAGTGGGAAAGATGCGATGAGTTCACACTTTGGTGACGTGGTAGCAGATTTACGCCTAAAGTACAATGCTTCAAATAAGGGTATCTCGGTCCATTTATTGAAGGAAAAATTAGGGGAACAAGAAGCATTGTATTCCATTTTTTAAGAGGAATTCAAAAGGGCATTTCTTTTATATGTTTTTGGACACTTTATTCCGCCCTATGTTAATTAGACCATGCATTGTAGTCACATGATCCATTTCTAGAGATTTATGTTGCTATTATTAGTGTTTAGTTGTATTAGTCTTCTTCAAGCGTACTGGCATTGTAATATGTACATGTACTTTTAAAAAATTCATTAATGTAATTTTGAGTAATGGAAGATCTTAGGATTCTACATAATGAAACATCTTAGCAAAATTGTCCATTTACTATGTTTTATGTAGGTTGGAGTTTTTACATAAATGATCCCTTATGTTTTTTTTGGTGATTTGGTGCGAGGGCAAAGTTGTCTTTTCACATGAATTTAACAGCATAAAACAATGGGGGTTAAGTCCCAGGGACTAAAGCTAATACCAAATAGTGAAATAAGGACCATACATAATTAAATCCCGACCAAAACTCATGATTTATGCAAACCACAACGACCAAAAGTATATTTTACTCTAAGTGTTATGTTTAATCTATCTGTTCCACTTTAATCATGTCCATCGACCAAACGTTATTTTAACGACACATTTAAACAATATGAAAGGAATAGAGAAACTAATGTAATTTTTCGTTAAATATATAAGTAAAGAGAAATTAAATATATGAAATTATCATATCGTGAATCGAGTGTTCTGTTACTTCTGTTTTTCTGGTTAAAGGGGCGGGAATAGGCAGAAAGCAGTCCACACAGGAATCTCGTATCTCCCTTTTGCCGTAGCACGAGTCAAAAGAGGACCAGTAAACCCTGCTATTCATGGGAACTGGTGCAATGGCATCTTGGTTACAATGGATAATCAATCAAAATCAAAAGCAAAAAGCAAAACCCTCGCTGTTTCCCTTCCTTGGTCCCTTTTCAATTCCTTCCCTAGGGATGCAGTCATTCTATTCTCTTCATCCTCTTCCCCCATAAAGTTGAAAAATGCTCCCATTCTTTACTTGCTATCAGAGAAAGCCCTAAAAGCTAAGTAATTGCCCCGCATCAACAAGCAAAGGATCTTTACACACTCTATCTATATCAAAATTCAGAATACAAATATGGTTTTCGTGTGCGCATTCTTCAGCAGCTTTCAGGGTAGAGGGAGAGAGAGTTCCAACAAGTTTCAGGTGGAAATCAGGGGTGCTGACGGAGTTGGACGGCAGGAATGGCGAGTACGAGTGGGACCAAAGATGAGGTGGGCCCACCGAGGTCGTTGTCAAGGAGGATGACGAGGTCTTCCACTATGGTTGATCCTAATGCCGATGGTGTTGACAGCGAGCTTGTTCCTTCTTCCCTTGCTTCTATTGCTCCCATCCTTCGGGTTGCCAATGAGATCGAGAAGGATAATGACAGAGTTGCTTACTTGTGTATGTTTCCCCTTACTATATTTGCCTCTTCCTTTCCTAAGTTGCCAAATTGCTTATAATTTGTTGTGTTTGGAGGTGAGTTTTGAAATCGATTGATTGGAAAATCTATTGATTAAAACTAGATAGGTGTGTAACTTTGCTTCTATAAATAGGATGAACCAGAATAGTAATTAATTACTTTTAAATACAATAGCACATCACACAGATCCAAGTATTGCTCATAAAATCAGGGTATCTGGCACTATGTAGTCCTTCTGGTGATTGTGCATGGCTTATATGAAGTGGATAGCTACCTAATAGGATTCAAACCATGCTGCATGAGACACCAAGTCATAGGATAGGTCCAACCTCTTGGGGTCTTCTGGTGACTCTTGATATTATGAGATGAAAAAAGAGAAACTTTTTGGAGTTACTTAAGTTTGTTTCTGGTTGAAATATGTTTGATTAGTTTAGAAAATAAGTTTTGTTTCAGGTTTACAGTGTATAAGATGATTTTAGTTACTGAAAAAATCGATTGCTCTATTCTTTTTGGCAAAAGGGACATGCATAAAGATTAATTTTGATTACTACATAAAGAATTTTGGACTTTTCTTTTGAGGTATTCAGAGCAATTTTTTTTTAAAAAAAAAAAGGTAAAAAAGCAGATAAGTTGGTATGAACAGAAATGCTGCAACTGTAAAAGTACAAGAAAAAGAAAGCGAAAATAGAGATAAAAAGTAGCACCATATATCATTTCCTCAAAAGTACATCAGCATATACAACCTTGAAACAACCTAGAAAATTAAGACAACATGGTGGTTGTGCTTGCTGGCTGCTGTAATAAATTTCTCATAACCTTTTATGCCTTTAATTTGTTGCATTAGGCCGGTTTCATGCATTTGAGAAGGCCCACAGGATGGATCCTATATCTAGTGGACGTGGTGTTCGCCAGTTCAAGACCTACCTGCTACATAGACTTCAGAAGGTGCACATTACTATTTTCACCATTTTAAGTTACATTCATCGTATTTTAGTGATATTAGATTTTCAGAAATTCTAATGAAAATTTCAAATATTGTATTGGTTTAGGAAGAAGAAACGACAAAACCTAAGCTAGCAAAAAGTGATCCTAGAGAAATCCAGAAGTTCTACCAGAACTTCTATGAGAAAAACATCAGAGAAGGCCAATACACAAAGAAACCGTGAGGCTTGTTTTTTAATTAATGTCTAGAGATGTTACATTACATCATCTGATTACTTATTCATTTTGTTAATTTTTCTTCTATCATCTCTAAGTGAGGAGATGGCCAAGATTTATCAGATTGCAACGGTTCTATATGATGTACTAAGGACTGTGGTACCTGCTTCAAAAATCGAGCAAGAGGTATGATTGTTCTATCATACTTTGATATCTAGTTGCCATGTAAGTTTAAATACCCCATTGCTCATGTATGCTTCTGTGGCATTGTAGACTCAACAATACGCAAGAGATGTAGATGCAAACAGAGAACAACATGAACACTATAACATCCTTCCTTTGTATGCTGTTGGAAATAAACCAGCAATTACAAGGCTTCCCGAGGTTGTATTCAGAGACATAAATCTCATTTTCTATTATATACACACACACACACACAAAGATGTATACATCCTTCTTATTTATTTCACTCTTCACATGTCATTAGATCCAAGCAGCTCTTCGAGCAATTCGCACTGTGGATAACCTTCCATCTGTTAGAAGGATAGGAGACGCAGACAAACCTATTAATGATATTCTGGAGTGGTTATCATTAATTTTTGGTTTTCAGGTAACTTGTATTCATATAAACCGCTTTATTTAACTATGCACAAATTGTTTACAAATGTGACTATATTGAAAATTTTGTGATTCTGAAATGAAGAAAGGAAATGTTGCAAATCAACGGGAGCACTTGGTATTGTTACTTGCAAATATTGATAGAAGGTCGAAGGGGTGTTGATGATTATGATCAGGTAAAGCCCCCACTTTTTTACTGTAATATTTGAAAACTGTGTGTGACTGTGCTTTAGAGATGAACTAAACACTGATGAGGAGCTTTTTGCAGTTGGATAGCCATACTGTAAAGCATTTGCTGGATAAAACTTTCAAGAACTATGTCTCATGGTGTCATTATCTGCACCGAACATCAATCATTGAGTAAGTTATTAGCAAGATGACATAGCATGTTTCTTGTTCTTTGAAGTGAGGATTTAATCTTTTTGTTTGTTCAAGTTCAAATAAGGTTCCACCTAGTGCTGATAGGCAGCAGTTGCATCTTCTCTACATTGGACTCTATCTACTCATCTGGGGTGAAGCTTCAAACATACGGTTCATGCCTGAATGCCTTTGCTATATTTTTCATAATGTATGTTATTATTTTGTTTATATCTACAAGAATACAGTTATCATTTTGTTTATCTTTATGATGCGATGTTTTTTTTTTTTCGTTGAACAAAACAGATGGCAAATGAAATGCATGGAACTTTATTTGGAAATGTCCAACCTGTAAGTGGAGGGACATATCAAGCAGCAGCAGTTGGTGAGGAAGCATTTCTGCGTGATGTCATCTCACCTATTTATGATGTTCTTCGTAAGGTAATAACATCATAAGTTCTATTCCAGTTTGATAAAATCTACTTTTCTAATGGACTTATTTTTTTAATGGTGGCAGGAAGCCAGGAGAAATCAAGGTGGCAAAGCAAGCCATGCTTCATGGAGAAATTATGATGATCTTAATGAATATTTTTGGTAAGTATTCTCTTTATATTATAAAACTGGCATTCATGCTGTGAAACTGTTGTCCAACCTTTGATTCTGTTTTCTTGCAGGTCTGACAAATGCCTTAAGTTAGGCTGGCCAATGGATCGCAAGTCTGACTTTTTTGTTCACTCCGATGAGTCATCGCGCCATCATGCAGTATGTGTGGATTTATTTATGCTAGTAATTAGTTTTCACCAAATAAAAATGCTCAAATTTAAGTAATCTGCAGGGGCGCAATCAAGTAGTATCTGGAAAGAAGAAGCCTAAAACAAATTTTGTTGAAGTGCGTACATTTTTTGCACCTTTACAGGAGTTTTGATCGGATGTGGATATTCCTCATATTGGTCTTGCAGGTAGGTATATAACAGAATCATGCAGTTAGTATTAGTTGATGATTTCTTATTAGGGCTGGTAGCATTTGAATCATTTCTTTTTGATCTTGTAGGCTATGATCATTGTTGCATGGCATGGAGATGGATCAATCTTTGGAATTTTGGATGAAGGTGTCATCAAAAGTATCTTCAGCATATTCATTACTCATGCCATACTTAATTTTATCCAAGGTACGTACTTACTTCCTGCACATTCTTTCGTTACTTCTGTTGCCCTTTTTGTAATTTATGGTTTCTTTTTGCAGCTAGTCTAGACATAATCCTTAGTTTCAATGCCTGGGGGAGCTTAAAACCTACACAGATTCTTCGCTATATACTCAAATTCATTGTAGCTGCATTTTGGGTGGTAATCTTGCCAGTTTGTTACTCAAGATCAGTTCCAAATCCAACAGGACTTGTGAAGTTTGTCAGTACTTTGGGGGGAAATTGGAGAGAGCAATCACTTTATAACTACCTTATAGCAATTTACTTGATACCCAACATACTGGCTGCCTTTCTATTTCTGCTTCCACCTATAAGGAGACACATGGAACGTTCCAATTGGCGCATAGTTACTCTTCTAATGTGGTGGGCACAGGCAAGTTCATTTACATGTTGGTTGGTAGTTTGTATTGATGTTACATGCTTCTTGTTTTATTTTGAATTTTGCGGATTTTTACAGCCAAAACTCTATGTTGGAAGAGGCATGCATGAAGACATTTTTTCTCTTTTCAAGTAAGGATATAAAGTTTCTTTATGAATCATGATTTGATATGTGTGTTTTTAAATTTCTTTTTTCTTACTTTGTTACTCTTGATCTTAGGTATACTCTATTTTGGATAGTGCTGCTAATAAGCAAGTTCGCATTCAGCTACTATGTGGAGGTAATCATGGAAATGCTTGTTAGCATATGATTTGTATAGACAGTTTATGCTTAAATTTGCAATTTTCATTGTAGATACTGCCACTGGTCACACCCACAAAGTTAATCATGAAAATGCATGTTAGCAGCTATGAGTGGCATGAGTTCTTTCCCAACAGTAAAATCCTAAATTTTTCATACAAACTTTGTTTAATTGTGATTCCTATTAGACTAAGATCTGATTACTTACTTATTTGAGCATTTTGTAGTGACCCACAATATCGGCGTTGTTATTTCTATTTGGGCTCCAATTGTCATGGTGAGTGTTCTTGAAAATAATTGCTTTTGTTTTGCATTTATGAGGCCGATTAAACATATATTGTAATGTAATATTTTCATTTTAGGTCTATTTCATGGACACACAAATTTGGTATGCGATATATGCTACTATTATTGGTGGAATCTATGGGGCCTTCAGCCACTTGGGTGAGGTTAGTACGCATATATCTATACTAAATCTTGAATTTGAAAATTGAAATAGAAAGATGACATCATCATTCTGTGCTATTTGATCCTTAGATACGGACACTTGGCATGCTAAGGTCACGATTTGAATCGGTTCCTTTAGCTTTTGTTGAACGCCTTGTGCCTATGCAAAAAGATCCTAAAAGAGATCATGTGGAAGATGATCTATCCATGAGAAAGAACATAGCAAAATTTTCACAGGTGTGGAATGAATTCATATTTTCAATGCGGATGGAAGACTTGATCAGCAACAGGTTTGTTATTAATCTAAGGAATCAAACTGAAGCAGAATATTCTGTTGACATTTGTTTTATTTTTCAAGTGAGACAGATCTGCTTCTTGTACCTTATACTACAAGTGATGTTCCAGTTGTCCAGTGGCCACCATTCTTGCTTGCTAGTAAGGTACATATCCTCCATGCCTTGGCTTGATATCTTTTTGTTATTGTTTATCTGAAGTTAAAATGTAATCACGGTTTTGACTTTTTGCCACTTAAGATCCCCATTGCATTAGACATGGCCAAAGATTTCAAAGGAAAGGAAGATGCAGACCTGTTCAGGAAGATCGCTAATGATGATTATATGCGGTCAGCAGTGATGGAATGCTACCAAACACTTACGGCAATATTATTTGAACTCATTGATGATGACCGAGATAAAATGTAACGCGTACATCTTGATCCTACTGCAAATTTATACTTACAAGTAGTTAGAAAATCTATTTCATTTTCTTTTTCTTTTTCTTTTTCTTTTTACAGGATCTTACAGCATATATGCCATGAAATAGAAACTAGCATTCAACAGCGAACGTTTTTGAGTAAATTTCGTATGAGCGAATTGCCTTCACTCAATGATAAGCTGGAGAAATTCTTGGATCATCTGGTAAGAGGCATTTCTTTATTATTCATCATCATTGGCAATCTATTCCTTAAATTGTTTTTTGTTATTTTTCTGATTTCTCCATTGGGTGTCTGCCAGCTAGCAGACAATGTTGATGATGAGAAATACACATCCCAAATCATCAATGTTTTTCAGGATATCATGGAGATTATCACACAAGATGTTATGAATAACGGGCACGAGTAAGTCTTTTATTTTGGATTGACCATTAAACATTCTGTTGTAAAATTCATTTTGTGTCCTTTTGTAGGATACTTGAAAGAGCTCACGCTCATCATCATGATAATGACAAAAAGGAAAGATTTGAGCGAATCAATGTCCAATTAACTCAAATCAGATCATGGAAGGAAAAGGTATCATCTGTCATATTGCACTCACGATTTTGTTCTTATTATTCCTTTTGCTAATTTTACATTTGTGCCCCTAGGTGGTGAGGCTTCGTTTGCTTTTGACTGTCAAGGAATCGGCAATTAATGTGCCTACAAATTTGGAAGCTCGTAGGCGTATCACTTTCTTTGCAAACTCCTTATATATGAAAATGCCAAATGCTCCAATTGTCCGTAACATGCTCTCATTTAGGTCAGTAATTTTCCAACCATTCACTTATTTCACTCATGGATGCCCTACATCATTGTCCTTACTCCTTAATATTACATTTTGTTTCAGTGTTTTGACTCCATACTACAAAGAAGATGTTCTCTATTCAGATGATGAGCTTAAGAAGGAAAATGAAGATGGAATTACAATTTTATTTTATCTCCAGAAGATATATCCAGGTGACTCTTGATATCAGTTTCGACTGTTGTCCTCTTTATCTAGAATCAAACAACATTAATTTTTTTTTGTTTGTTGTATATGCAAAACCAGATGAATGGAAGAATTTTGAAGAGCGGATTGCAGGTAGTAAGGATAAAACAGAAGCCACACGTCAATGGGTTTCTTACAGGGGGCAGACTCTTTCCAGAACAGGTATTTCTGTTTGCATGCTAGTTTAATTGAAACTTAAAAGTTATGTTTTATATATTTAGAGGCTCATTTACAAAAGTTTCTCAGTGAGAGGGATGATGTACTACAAGGAAGCTCTTCAGCTTCAATGCTTCCTAGACTATGCAAAAGACAATGGTTAGTGTGATTCGTTAAATGTTTTTCAGTGTCAGTATCTTCTTTTTTTTTAAAACTACTTTATGTTTTTTTTTTTTTTTTTTTTTTTTTTTTTCCACAGAGATTTTTACTGGATTCCGGACAGCTAACGTGAACAAACATCACATGGATCTCAAAGAACGTGCAAGTGCAATGGCTGATTTGAAGTTCACCTATGTTGTCTCTTGCCAGATTTATGGTGCTCAAAAGAAATCCAGTGAGGAGAGAGATCAAAGTTGTTATACCAACATCTTGAATCTCATGCTGACGTAAGTGTTGTTATGATCGTATATTAATCAGAAATTTAAAGGTATATTTTCTAATTATATTTGAACGCTTCAGATATCCTTCTTTACGAGTTGCTTATATAGATGAGAGAGAGGCTACCATCAATGGTAGATCTCAGAAGGTTTACTACTCTGTTCTAGTCAAGGGTGGGGATTCTTTAGATGAGGTAACTATGACATTTTGTATAAAATAACAAACCGATGATGGATTACATTTACAGTTTACCTTTGTGTATTTTTTGTTGTTAACTATTGGCATGATAGGAAATATACCGTATCAAGCTTCCAGGCCCCCCTACAGAAATTGGTGAAGGAAAACCTGAAAACCAAAATCATGCCATCATTTTTACCCGTGGAGAAGCACTACAGACAATCGACATGAATCAGGTAATTTACTAATTTACAAAAAAAATTTGTAATCTTTCAGAAGCATTGACAAATATCTTAAATTATATATACAGGACAATTACTTTGAGGAAGCATTCAAAATGAGAAATGTATTGGAGGAATTTCACAAGGATCATCATGGCCAACGTAGACCAACAATATTGGGGTTGAGAGAAAATATCTTCACTGGAAGGTCAGTATAGTTTCATATTTAATTTACTTATTATAAATCCTTAATTTCCAACTTGTGTAGCCAAAACTTTTAACAGATGAAAGTTTACATTAAATAATTTCACTCATTTCATTATTTTACAGTGTATCATCACTAGCTTGGTTCATGTCCAATCAGGAGACAAGTTTTGTGACAATTGGGCAAAGGGTTTTAGCAGACCCTCTGAGGTATGGATATATGAAATATGAAGTATCCTCTATGAATTCATTAACATTTAAAATCTTTATGCTTCCACAGGGTGCGATTCCATTACGGTCACCCTGACATATTTGACAGACTCTTTCACATCACAAGGGGTGGTGTAAGTAAAGCTTCTAGAACCATCAACCTGAGTGAGGATATATTTTCAGGTAAAATTTCTTCTCATCTACAAAACTATATACTATGAAATATGAATGTAACCTTGTATCATCTTTCCAGGTTATAACTCCACTCTGCGTGGAGGTTATGTGACACATCATGAATATATCCAAGTAGGAAAAGGTCGTGATGTTGGTATGAATCAAATATCCCTTTTCGAAGCTAAAGTTGCAAATGGAAACGGTGAACAGACACTCAGCCGTGATGTTTACCGACTTGGTCGCCGTTTTGATTTTTACAGAATGTTCTCATTCTACTTCACCACAGTTGGTTTCTACTTTAGCAGCATGGTATAACAACAAACCATCATCTCAATTCTATTTACTTACAACTTTTATATAATCACTTCCTTTACTTTCTATCCAGGTCACTGTGCTGATTGTTTATGCCTTTCTATACGGACGTATGTACATGGTTTTGAGTGGGTTGGAAGGGCGGATATTAGAAGATGCAAGTCTTAGTAGCAACAAAGCCCTGGAAGAAGCTTTAGCCACCCAATCTGTCTTTCAGCTCGGTTTACTTCTCGTGCTTCCTATGGTTATGGAAATCGGTCTAGAAAGAGGATTTCGCACTGCATTAGGCGATTTTATCATAATGCAACTCCAACTCGCCTCTGTGTTTTTCACTTTCCAGCTTGGAACAAAAGCACATTACTATGGAAGAACAATTCTACATGGAGGTTCAAAATATCGCGCCACGGGTCGTGGTTTTGTTGTCTTCCATGCAAAATTTGCTGAAAATTACAGGTTATATTCACGTAGTCACTTTGTGAAAGGGTTGGAATTGGGGATTCTGCTTGTTATCTATCAGGTGTATGGGAATTCGTACCGGAGTTCAAATCTATACTTGTTTATAACGTTCTCAATATGGTTCTTGGTGGCTTCATGGCTGTTTGCACCTTTTGTGTTCAATCCTTCGGGATTTGATTGGCAGAAAACAGTGGAGGATTGGACTGATTGGAAAAGATGGATGGGGAATCGTGGTGGGATTGGAATTGCACAGGATAAAAGTTGGGAATCATGGTGGGATGCAGAACAGCAGCATCTTAAGTACACAAACATAAGGGGAAGAATTCTTGAAATTATACTTGCATGTCGGTTCTTCATCTATCAGTATGGACTTGTGTATCATCTTAATATTTCACGTGGAAGCACGAGTATACTGGTTTGTTCTTTTCTTCCTTCCCCTATTCATTTGTTTCATGTTAAAACAATCTGTTGTCATCAATTCATTTTTTTTTTCCAGGTTTATGCGCTTTCGTGGTTGGTCATGATATCTGCTCTTTTAGCATTGAAGGTAAAAAAAAAAAAAACCAAATTGATCATCTATGATTGTGTGGTAGAGCTAGAAAGACAATGCAATTCTTGAAACCCTAATTGTATGGTATGTTGTCAGTTGGTGTCAATGGGGAGAAGAAGATTTGGCACAGACTTACAGCTGATGTTCAGGATCTTAAAGGCGCTTCTCTTCCTTGGCTTCCTTTCAATCATGACAGTCTTATTTGTTGTATGTGGCCTGACCATCAGTGACATATTTGCTGCCTTCCTTGCCTTTTTGCCAACAGGCTGGGCATTCATGTTGGTAAGTGCTGTTTCTTTTTTCCACTTACTCTTGACTTAATGTATTAAGATTTAAGACACCAACCTTTTTACCTTCTTAACTCCTCTCATGTTCATGTTACTTAAAATTGATGAATTTGTTTTTTGGGGAAAAGAAACATACCTTATTTTATTTGTCTCATTTGCTTACTGATGATGGTGGTTGTGGAACTGTGAATTCAGATTGGTCAAGCGTGCAGGCCTTGTGTAAAAGGCATAGGATTTTGGGACTCGATAATGGAGTTAGGGCGTGCATACGAATGCTTGATGGGATTGGTGATATTTATGCCAATTGTCATACTTTCATGGTTCCCTTTCGTATCAGAGTTCCAAACAAGGCTGCTTTTCAATCAAGCATTCAGCAGAGGTCTCCAGATTTCAATGATTCTTGCTGGGAAGAAGGACAAGGACAAGACCTAACCTACTTGTTAACACCCTTGTTCAAAGGAAGTTTTGAATTTACAACTCTATATATATATATATATATATATATATATATTTATCTGTATATATTCTTCAGATTCATAATTCTTTTTAAACTTAATTGCTATTGTCAAATCAAATCTTGATTAACAACAGTCTGAAATTACAGTCATACTTGTTGAAATAAAAATATACCGATGACATTGAAGGTAACTTCAGTGGTTTATACAGATTTGTTCTAAAGAATCTAGGGCTGTTTAAATGTTTTAAACCTAATTCTTGCATAAAGTTGCAATAATCACTTCCGCAATGCTCTGCTTTTGAGTGTAATTATTTTAGGGATAATGACTTAGAAGGGTAATATATTTTCCGATTTGTACACATTTGGTCACTGAATTTTTTATTTTCGTCCACATTTACCCCTTCAACTTGTTAAATTATGCACATTCAGTCTTTATGACCCCGGCTACTCCAGGCTAGCCGGTAAAAATGACTTAATAGGGTAATATATTTCTCACTTTGTACACATTTAGTCCTTAATATTTTTGTACACATTTAGTACTTAATATTTTTTTTGTTGCAAAATAAGTCAATTTTGGTTTTGCACTCATTCAGTACTTTTGAATGATTTCTTTAGGTTTTTTTCACATCTTATGTGAGACATTCATTAATGAGTGTTTGGGGCTTTTGATGTTTATGTCCATCGCGATCTCGACTACTTGGTTGCTTAAGTCACATGTTCTGAACGTCATATCTTTTTCATACGATCTTGGAATTTAACGATCTTTATATCCATGCGTTCGTACTTTAGTCTACTACTACTACTACTTTCATTTAGATTTCTCCCGTTAAAAAGTAATATATTTTTACTTACGATCGTTATATCCATACATTTTTTATGAATGCATGTATGGACGTTTTTTTTTATAAAATCGTAAGTAAAATATATTACATTTTAACGGGAGTGATCTTAACGAAAGTTGTGGTAGACTCAAAAAAAGAACTTGAGGATATAAAGATCGTTCAAATCTGATATCGTATGAAGAAGTTATGACGTTCAGAATACAAGACCTAAGCCAAACCACAAGACCTACGCAACCAAGCAATCATTTTTGTTTTTGTATTTATGAATGATTTCTTTATGTTTTTCTCACGACATCTTACGTGGGACATTTATTAATAAGGTGTTTGGGGCTTTTGATGCTTATGTCCATCGCAATCTCGACTACTTGGTTGCTTAGGTCATGTGTTCTGAACGTCATAACTTCTTTATACGATCTCAAATTTAACGATCTTTATATCCATGCGTTCGTATTTCAGTCTACTACTGCTTTCATTTAGATTACTCCCGTTAAAAAGTAATATATTTTTACTTATGATCTTTATATCCATACATTTTTTTTATGAATGCATGTCCAGACGTTTTTTTTAATAAAATCGTAAGTAAAAATATATTATATTTTAACGGGAGTAATCTTAACGAAAGTTGTAGTAGACTCAAAAAACGAACTTGTGGATGGATATAAAGATCGTTAAAATCTGATATCGTATGAAGAAGTTACGACGTTCACATTACAAGATCTAAGCCAAACCACAATACCTATGCAACCAAACAGTCGAGATCGCGATGGGCATAAGCATAACAACCCCAAACACCTCATCAATGATTGTTACACGTAAGATGTCATGAGAAAAACCTATATAAATCATTCATAAGTACTGAATGAGTACAAAAACAAAAAGGACTTATTTTGAAACAAAAAATATTAAGGACTAAATATGTACAAAATGAGAAATATATTACCCTATTAAGTCATTTTTCCCGGCTAACCTGAAGTAACCGATCATAAGGACTGAATGTATACATTTTAACAAGTTGAAGGGGTAAATGTGGACGGAAAAAAACTCGTGAACAAATGTGTACAAATCGAAAAATATATTACCCTTTTAAGTCATTATCCAATTATTTTATGTATTAATAGAAAAGTTCTTATTGTTCACCTAGGTACCTCAATTTTTTCTTTTCGAAAAAGTTTTGCTATTCAAATTTTATCTTTCTTTCATTTACATAAAAATAAGTAAAATATAACTTGTTTGACATGATTGACAATCGACATAACAATGATGTGATATTGATATTAGACTACACGAAAATAAAATGATTGACATGTTTAATCACTAATAATTTTAATTTTAATAAACTTAATATATATTTTGTATAAAATTCATTTTTACATTTTGTAAAACAATTATCTTAAATCATATTATTACTTATTAGTTATTTATTTTTATTTTTTGATTTAAAATTCATTTTTTTTGACGTTTTATTCGAATATATATATATATATATATATATATATATATATATATATATATATATATATATATATATATATATATATATATACACACACAAACACACAAACACACACACACACACACACACTAGTTGACGTTTTGTTCGTTTATTTTTTTAACGATTTGTTCGTTTACATTATTTAATCATAATTTTTTTTAACATTTTGTTCGTTTATCCGAAACAGGCTTTTAAAACAACAGGTCAACTGAAACCGTAACATTTTTTACAACTTAGGATTTTTTTATTTTTTATTTATTTATTTTTTTGTAAATTTTTTTACAACTTATGAATGTTTAACTTTTTTTGACGTTTTGTTCATTTATAAAATTTTTGTTTGTTTATCCGAAATTTAAAAGAACAGATTATAAGAATCCGTAATTATTTTTTACAAACTATGATTTTTTTTTTTGTAAAACCTTTTTACGAATTAGGAATATTTTTAAATTTTAACGTTTTGCTCATTTTGTAAAAAGGTTAAAAAAATGTTAAATATGAAAAATATAAATTAAAAGCTTGAAACATAAAAAAATAACTTGAAAAAAATAAGTAAAAAAAAATATAAACACTATTTATAAAATGATATAAACACTATGTTACATATCACATTAGATTTATATATTCAAATGAATATAAAATGAAAACTATTAATATAACAACAAAAATAATCCTTCATTTATAGACTCATCGATGAGATGTTCGTGCATTTAAGCTTTCATATATGAATTACTTGTGATTTATATGTGAATCACTTGTGATTTATATGTGAATCACATGTAATTCACATATGAATTACATGTGATTCATGTGTGAATTACATGTGATTTACATGTAATATTTAGAAAAGTAAAGCTGAACGACCATTTTTGATACGCCTCTCTCTTTCTTTGGACAAAGTATGAAAAACTTTATTGTAAATATACGCTTCCATAAAGCTTTGTCCTGTTCTATGTATGCTGTCTTTGGATTCCAAAATGATTTTTTGGATATTCTAGCCATTGCTGAATTATGTAATTTTTGTTTTTTTACAAAGAAACAACCAAAACTATAAAAATGCATCACCCACCGATTGTACAATACAAGTGTCTAATGCATTTTAATAATGAATTAGATTTGCTTCAAAATCAGCACCTAAGGGAGTAAATATGATAATCAAAGAGAAAATTAATGCATTAAACCAATATAGGTGTTGAAATAGAAGCAATCTGATTGATTGTCATACACATAAAGCAATATTTCCAACCAAACACTTGCTTTAAGCATCATTGTAAGGATTTTATTTATTTGAGGAAGCAAGCATCGAAAAAAGCTCTAGATCTAATCAATAAATGGATGTATTATCAACTAACCTTTATATTTTGCCAATACGCTGAGTTCGCATGAGAAATGTTCAACTATTGCCATCATCATAATATTACCATTCAAGCTTCTATAATGTTGTACCAGATCAGTTGTCAAGACTACATATAATCAAATATTTTCCATATGAATTAGGTGGTTAATTTTTTTACTAGTGGAATTTGAATCCAATAGACACTTACGAAAATATTTTGATGATCTAACAATCGCTTTTTGGGGGAACCGTTTGAGAGTTTGTGGAGAGAGACAAAGAGAGCGACAATGAGAAATTGAAGCCGTACTCTTCCTCATCTAAATTGGAGCCAGAATCCAAGCGACTGATACAAAGCATAAAGTGATTTTTTTGTGGAAATCGACGGTGTCGCCTCTTTTGATTTGATACAAAGCATTTGATCTTTGACGAAATCTAGTGTTTGAACGGTTGTTTAAGAGCTCTAGTACGTCGGTACCGATTGATGATAACAACATTGAAAGGTGGATCGACTTTTGGATCCAATTCTAGAGGCAAAATGGAGAAGTCGACGAAGAACGTGAGCGAGGATGCGACACCGTTTGGAGGCAATGTGACGACGGGGAGGAAAGAAGGAGATATCTCTGGTGACTCGTGTGTGGATGACCGGAGGTATCCAAGGAATTCCGATGGTGGCGTTTTTTTGGGAAACCGATCGAGGGTTTGTGGAGAGAGAGAGAGAGAGATTAGGTTTGAGATCCATGTATTCATTTTGATTAAAGTGACTAAATTATGTTATCCCCAAAGTGCCCTCAGATTCATTTTAATAAGGTACCCCTGGATTTTTTTGTAAGTATTTACAAAAATGTCACAAATCATCTTAACCTTTTATTGTTTTGATCTAATGGTCTTTGTTTGGTTCTCGTGTTCTGATGAAACTATGAGTTCTCAAATGATATTTTCTCTCTCTCTCTCTCTCTCTCTCTCTCTCTCTCTCTATATATATATATATATATATATATATATATATATATATATATATATATATATATATATATATATATATATAGATATATATATGTAACATCCGTGATTTGAGGTAAGGCTAATTATTTATTTTTGTAATTTATTGTTGGACTATGAGAGTGATGATGGACTAATTGAGTGGGCGTTTTGAATTGGGCCTTTAGTGAGTGGGTCGACTGAAGACGTACGCTGGGCGTAAGCTTGGCGTACGTGGGGGGCAGTAGCAACATTAGATGCGGGGGGCGGAGGTGCGTACACGCAGCGTACCAAGGAGTACGCGTAGCGTACACGGGCAGACTTAAAACCCTAATTTTTAGGGTTTAAGCCATATAAATAC